CTGCCCTTAGAGACAATAGATGACAAATGTTTCCTTTTCAGACCTTTAACGTGTTCTAGACTTTGAGTTAATCTCTTCAGGATTGGGAGGGCCTGGAAGAAAAAGATATAGCTATGTGAATAGACTCTTGATAGATGCACATTTTCCCCCACAAAGGACGGCTTTGCAAGGACAATTTCAGATGGTTTGTAGGACACGACTCCCAGGCCCCTTAGGAATTTGGGCAAGATAAAAAATCAGAACTTAGTCCTCAAGAGTTAAATCCTAATGCAGTCTGTTTCAAGTAATGTTTGTACCTCAGGATACAAAGTTAAGGTTTGAAGACCCATGTAAAGAGATGCTTCTAAAGATTGATGAGCATACATGTTTTGCTTTGCAGCATCTGCGTGAGTCTAGAGAAACTGCCAGTGGGGGAGAAACGTGTATTACAAGGAAGGTGCTCAAGACTCTAAGCCTCACCACTGTGGAGGCTAGCCAGTAAAACCCGTCAGAGCTGGAGCAGTCCTCCCCTGGGGTGGGGTGGTGTGGGGTGGGGATCCCCGGCCCCCAGGTGATTGGATGAGGCCCATCCACATTAGGGAGGCAACCTGCTTTACCAGTCTCCCGATCCAAATGCTAATCTCATCCAGAATCACCCAGAAGGATGTTCGGCTCAATATTTGGGAACTCTGTGCATGGATGGCCCAGTCAGCCTGAACATGAAATCAACCATGTGTCCATCTCTTGTCAACTTGGCACCCATATGCATTTCCTTAACTCAGGCTTCATCTTCAAGTGAAGACAAGAGCAAGGTCATAGCCACCTAACATGATACCACTATCCTACAGACAACCAAAAGCGCACTAGCCGCTTACCTAGTGGAGGTCACGTTCCCCTGTGATACTTATGGTTCTACTTGATACGGGGTAACTTAATAGGCAGTAGTATGTGTATGTTACATAAGAGGATAAGAGAGGGAAGAAAACTGATACATGCTTAACTATAACATGCATAGATTATATATGACAAATACTGGTCACAAAATAAGCAGGAAATACTCCAAGCATTGATGGTCCTCTTTCCTGTAACTGATTCTGTGGACACAGCCACTTTCTTCCACTGCCCATTCTGTGGTCCTGTGGCCTTCAGCAGGCACCTCACTGGTTGTGGTTCTTTCTGGTGAGGTAAAGTAAAAAAGAAGTCTATAGCACATTTGATTAACAAGTGTCTTAAGATTTATTTCTAAAGTATACAAGTATGATCAGTATAATCCAAAAGTAATAACACATGCTGGGTTTAAAAATTTGAAAATGGGAGTGAGGTGTGAGGAGGAGGAGGTCTTGCCCCTCCGCCCCCAGTTGGAGCCCCATGGCAGTGTTGTAGCACGTTCTGTATAGTTAGGATGCCCACAGGCCTCCCTGCCTCTCTCCAGCTCTGCTAGCCAGGAACACTTCCAAGTCTGCATTTCACAGGCTTGCTCGCCTCTGCGTGGTTATTCTCACATCAGTAACAGTTGCACACTCAGCAGCTTCGTTCTGCGTTTGGGATGAGTTGAGTTCCCTGACGTAGAATTGCTGGGTTGAAGGTTTTTATGATAAAAATATTGGTCTTATTTTGGGGGCTGAAGGTTTTAAAAGCTTAATACATACTTCTAGGTTGCTTTTCAAAACGACAGAAAGCGGCCCGTGATAAGTAGCTCTTCCTTGAAATAAGGACTTGTCTGATCCCAACTTTTAACTATATATAGTTATAAGTATTGAAATTATTTTAATGTTTCTTAACACTGTTTGTATTATAAATGAGACTTCATTTTTAGGGTAACTTGTGATTTTAATATTTGAAATTATAGGAGTTAAAATTCAGTGAATACCTGAATTGTAAAAAATTATATTTAAGCTATAAAATGTCAGTAGAGAAATAAGCAAGATAAAGATTTTTTTCATACAAGAAAATGGAACTGAAAAGCGTTGGCCTTCTCATAACATACTTACTCAACCAGCTTTTGAAGTAGCTTCTGTAGATGATGATTTTATAATTATGAATGTCCTTGTCTTAATTTAGCCTAGAATTGAAACCAGTTAAAATAACTTGGCTAGTACTGCTATCACTCAGACACTGGTTCAAGATGCATCCAAAAGCTCAATGCCTTGTGGACAACTTCTAAGGGTTTAGTTGCCGTGGATTTAAAGAAATTGTGACTAAACCAATCTGTTAACATTGATAAATGGGAAATTGCAGAAGGATATAGACGTTGTAGAGTGTGTAAAAGTAACTTGGTTTAGGGACTCAGGTATGGCCAGTGAGACTGGTCACACGAGTGCCTTTCTTTGGATCTCACTGTCACACTCTTACCCAGGTTGGAGTGCAGTGGCTGTTGACAGGTGTGATCATAGCTCCCTGCAACCATGGATTTCTGGGCTCAGCAGTTCTGCCTCAACCTCCCAAGAAGCTGGGACTAAAGATGTGTGCCACCACACCTGGCTAATTTTTAAATTTATTGTAGAGAAGGGGTCTTGTTATGTTACCTAGGTTGGTCTTGAACTCCTGACCTCTAGGGATGTCTCCTGTCTTGGCCTCCTTAGGAGCTGAAACTGCAGATACATGCTAATGTCCTCAATTTATGGTAATGCAGAAATGCCTTTTGTTTTTGAGATGGACTCATGTTCTCTTGCCCAGGCTGCAGTGCAGTGGCGCGATCTCAGCTCACTGTATCCTCCACCTCTGGGATTCAGGCAGTTTTCGTGCCTCAGCCTCCTGGGTAGCTGAGACTGCAGGTGCCCATCACCACTCCTGGCTAACTTTTTTTGTATTTTTAGTACAAAATGTTGGCCAGGCTGGTCTCAAACTCCTGACCTCAAGTGATCTGCCTGCCTCGGCCTCCCGAAGTGCGGGGGATTATAGGCGTGAGCTACTGTGGCCTCCTGGAAATGCTTTTTAAGGATCACCTCCTAGGGGAGATGAAGAGAGTTACCGTAGCATAATCAGTTTTAACTGTATTTGTAATGTTTGTTTCTTTACCTGGGAGGATATATTGTAGATATGTCAGATAACATATGTGACCCAGTGGTGTGCAGGCTATGGCTATAAAGTAGAAAGTTACTAAATAGAATGCTTGGATTTTATTTGAATTGGACGCAGTTTTTGTGTCCTAGAGAAATTCACAAAATGTTCCTAGTTTTAGATACAAGGTTATGATTTAACATCTTTGCTTTTGTTCTTTCTTGTCTTTGAGTAGAACAGTGGGGGACAGTAAGGTCTGTTGCAAAGTATCTATGACCGTCTTCTTATTTTTATGGGTGGGGGGCATTGACTGTGGAATGTGGGTGGTAACTTGCAGTCAGTAACAGTTTGAGTAACTTCTTGTTGGCATCCCCGTTCTGCCATTCCTCCTCTAGGTCTCCACCTCACGCTGGCTTGTGGGCGGAGGGGCAGATTGGCGCATGGGGTGTCCGGGCACTGGTTGTGCATGCCTTCTTCCTCTTCTGTCTTCCAAAAAATAACCAGTGACCAATTCTCCCAGTGTTTCTTTCTTTGGGACTCAATGTCTTGGGCTTGGCATTGGGTAAAGCCGACTGGCCAGTTTCATTCCGACGAGCTCTATGATAGTCCGGTATGGACCTCTGTCCTCTCTGCTATGCAGAAGCTTCCTCAGCCTTTGCTCCTCACTATGTACTATTTGCTGGTCCTGGGGGTACCCAGCATCTCAGGGTTTTGACTGCCCACCTGTACGTCGATCCTTTCAGACTGGTCAGAGTCAGCCTCAGGTGCTGCTTTTCTCTAGTCACTGAATTTTCTTTAGTAGGGACAAAGTCTTGCTATGTTGCCCAGCCTGGATTCAAACTCCTGAGCCCAAGGAATCCTCCCACTCAGCCTCCAGAGTAGCTGGATCAAGTCACTCTTGTTCATAACCTCAGTTGCTTCATGAGTCTCGATTTCTGCTTAATTTCAGTGCTTGTTGTTGTATCTTTGTGTGCTGCGGTATTTATTGTTAACCTTTGTGACTCGAATGTATCCACTCCCTGCTTTGGTCACTCTGGCCTGCAAATAGGCCATACTAATTCTGTAGTTGGTTGTGGCTTGCCTTTGTCTTTATACCTTGCATGTGTTTATGTCTTAATGCATCTATTAGGATTCCTTGCTTTTATCATAGGTTTCCCATGTTTTCTGAAAAAATTACGGTAATTAATGCAGAACCCAGGTAAATTAAAAAGCTTTGTATACTTTATGAATTTTTAGTAAGTACGCATTGATTGATAACACCAACAGAGGAAAACAAAACAGTCAGTTCTGATCTTGATTTTCAGGAGCATTTTGTGTTTCCACTTGGCAGCGTGATGCTTCCTCACGTTGGTGATTTTCTGTTGAGACACCTTCAGGCGTAATCTTATGTCTGCTGGTTAACATTTGTTCAGAATTGATTTCAGCTAATCCTTAAAAGTTTTTTGAGACATCACACTTAGAATAAAAGGAATTTCCTTTGCCGAGGTTCATCAGGTATTTACTGTTAGTTTACGTGGCCACACCATTCCTTCTCTCTCTCTCTGTGTGTGTATGTGCATGTTAGGGTAATCCATTTTTCTGTTTGTTTCTGAATTGCTTTGGAGAAGGCAACTCAGACTCTAAGGAGTACAACAGCCTCAGTGTAAAGCTTTTCTCACTTTTCCAGTGGTCATAGCAGGAACAGCATCTAACAGGATCTCAGATCAGTGATGTGAAAAGAGCTGAGTTTGAAGTGCATATTGATGCTCCATAAAGAATGTGTATATGTGCTGTTTTTAAATTAAGTCTGGTAATTTATTTGATATAAGGTATTGTAGTTTTAGTTGAATTAAACAGTTGGTGAAACTGTTGGTGAGGTAGTCTTTCAGTTACTCTGTAGATAAGCTCTTTTGTTACAACCTCATCTAAGTTTTTTGTTCCTGAATATGTTACAAACATCTATTTTCTCTTACTGTAGCTGTCACATGAGGAAAAAAACTTGAAAAAAAGATTTCATAGTGTGTGTTTATGTTTAATTTTAGAAGACCCTTTTGAGGACTTCTTTGGGAATCGAAGGGGTCCCCGAGGAAGCAGAAGCCGAGGGACGGGGTCGTTTTTCTCCGCCTTCAGTGGATTCCCGTCTTTTGGAAGTGGATTTTCTTCTTTTGATACAGGTATTAAATCCCTAGGTTTAATTTCTGCTATCTTAACAGTGATTAGTACTTACAAGCATAATACTCTTTTAGAGTAATTTAAAATATGTGCATTGCTTTCGTAGAATAGCATTATAGATTTGCCAGCTTTTTTTGGTATACAAGTCTATGCTTAATAACCTACATTTTCTCCTAATCTTCCTAAGAATGTTGTACTTGGAAATCTTCTCTTAATATAATAATCAAGGCCAGAATGTAATGAAATTCTTAGTTAAAAAGGGGCAAAGTGTGTTCTGTGTCAGTAGGTGGAAAGTAACGCACTCGGGAAATCTCACTAACCTGCATGCTGTCTAACCTCCTTTGCAGTTAAAACAAAAGTACGCAAATAGGTAGCATCCCAGGAGTGTCCCACTGGATGGAATGGAAGGCTAGGCCTTAACACCAGCCCAGGCCAGGCTCACTCACTAGTGAAGTGTCAGCCTTGCTCACGTAGCTCTTCATAAGTGGAAACACAGCTTATAGACTGGAGTAATATGAATATGTATATAAACACACATTATATACCTGTGAGTTTAGCCTGAAGAATTAGCATCCCATTTTTCTCTGAGGCTTACCCAGTTTCTCTTCACAGAGGAGCTCTTTTTTTTTTTTTTTTTAAATTTAAAAAGACAGAGTCTCACTTTTAATAAGTGCCACTCTTAGTGTAGTGGCATGGTCTCGGCTCACTGCAGCCTCCTGCCTCCTGGGTTCAAGTGATTCTTCTGCCTCAGCCCCCTGAGTAGCTGGGATTACAGGTGTGCACCAGCAGGCTCAGCTAATTTTTGTATTTTTAATGGAGACAGGGTTTTTGCCATGTTGGCCAGGCTGGTCTTGAACTGACCTCAGGTGGATCCACCTGCCCTGGCCTCCCAGAGTGCTGGGATTACAGGCATGAGCCACCACTCCTGGCCTGGAGCTGCTGTTTTGATTCTCTCATTTTTATTTTTAAGCCTCCACGGTAAGAATTGGGAGAGCTTGTTACATAGGGTTCCTTCATAATGGTCAGAATTTTATTTTCTTTTAACATTGTGCTCATGCCATCTAGGTAAGTAGTGAATTCTGCTTGATTGGACCTCAGTTTTGATGTGCTTTCCCTCAACAGATCCTCTCATTAGATACCATGGAATATGCTGACCACAGGTTAAGAAAACTAGTTAAAAATACCACGTAAATAGTCCTTTTTAAAAGTAATCAGTGGCTCCTGTGTGTGTGTGTGTGTGTGTGTGTGTGGTGGGGGTGTAAGCCTTCTCCACTTCTGAGGTGCCTTACAGAGTATCATAAGAATAAGTACTTAGCGAGGCTTGATCTAGACTGTTGCAGTGGTCACCAGCCACGTGTGGGTCCTGAGCCCTGGAGGCCTGGCTGCTCCAAATGGAGATCAGCGGGAGTGTGAAACAGTCATTGGGGTTCAAAGATGGAAGATGGAAAACAGTATAAAGTATCACAAACGATTTGATTTTCTGTATTTCCAATTGAAATATTTTGGATATACTGTATTAAATAAAATACTGCAATTAATTTCACTAGTTTCTGCTTTTCAGTGAAGTCGTTAGAAAAGGTAAACTTAACATACCTGGCTCACATATTTCTTCAGTACGCCACTAGCGCTAGACAGTATCTGGCCTTACATGATTGAATCATGTTCAGAGGTATGCGTCATTTGTGTTAATGTGAGCATTTTGGAAGCAGGACAAGTATTAAGCTCTAACCAGTAGACCAGCTTTAATATAAAAAAATAAGTTTGCTTTAGTGTGACTTGTGAAATTTTTCAGTGTCCGCACTGATACAGTGTCCATAATGTATAATTGAGAATGGTGTCCATGAACCGTAGACACACAGGTTTTTCAGATGGATGCTTGTAGTAGTCTTTCTACAGTTATTTTAGTTTTTCAATAATTTAGATTTTTATCCCCTGTGGTTCTTTGGTAAAGAGAAAGGAAGCCGGTTAGGTTTGCTGTTTTGCGGTGGTGAGGACATTCTGTTCTTGTGGGGTAAGGGTGTCCGTCACAGTCCGTGGAGTTTACAAGCCATGCCATAGCAAACAGAGCTTTGATACTGAGTCTGCTCTGCTGGTTGGAGCTTAATACCGGTCCCGGTTCCAGAATGTTCACGTTAACACAACGCATGTGCTGCGTGGTGCCAGGCAGACCACCCACAAGCCGGGGTGGTCTTTGCCATGTCAGAAAGGCTGCTCATGTCCAGCGAAGCTCTGCATGAGGAGAGGGTGAGAGGCTGCACTCTCGCGTTCCCCTAGAGTCCCCACTGAGGGATTTGAGAGAATCTTTCCCCCTGGGCATCCTAGCACTTCGGCTGAGGCCTTGCTAGTTGCATGGTTTATTACTCATCTGTTCTACGTCTTAACATTAAACAGTCTGCTACTGAATTTTCAAACTCTTGTCTTTGCATTAGTAGTTGACATATTTCTCTAAGCATTTTTCTTTTCTGTTTTCCTGTAGGATTTACTTCATTTGGGTCACTAGGTCATGGGGGCCTCACTTCATTCTCTTCCACGTCATTTGGTGGTGGTGGCATGGGCAACTTCAAATCGATATCAACTTCAACTAAAATGGTTAATGGCAGAAAAATCACTACAAAGAGGTACTGTGCTAATCTGCATTTCGTATTTTTAGTAAGCGGGCATGATGTTTCACTGGTGCCATGCTGCACATCTCCCAGAGTGTGAAGCAGAGCTTGTTGTGTGCTGCGTCTGGCACCATGAAAATCTTCTTCTCTCCAAATTCATTAATTAAAGCTCTTCCTCTTAAATTTTACTTAACTGTTGATTTATTAGAGGGGATCTTTAATGTAAATAAAAGATAAGTTGTAAATAAAAGATAATAACTTAAGTGTAACAAGTTTCTGCAGCTTTGTTAAGATGACTGAATGGAGAATCTTTAATAGTAAAGCCTTTACTGTTTTATAGCCTCTGCTTGTATTTAGCATCCACCTGTACAGTATTTGAGACAATTTATTTTGTCAGGTTAATTCTGTTTTAGGAAAGGAAGACGTATTGTTCACAGGTTGGCTTCAGCCGTGTTTTTACAGCCTGAAAATTACTTATATTCATGGTGTATTTCAGTAATGTCCTTAAAAAACTTAGTTACCCTCACACATGTATTTACTTTACCGGAAAGGTTTTTAAATGAATTTTTTTCCTACAGAATTGTCGAGAACGGTCAAGAAAGAGTAGAAGTTGAAGAAGACGGCCAGTTAAAGTCCTTAACAATAAATGGTAAGGAGCAGCTGCTGCGCTTGGATAACAAGTAATTCAACGCACGCGCTTAACAGAAATGTTAAACTATAACAAGCACCATTTGAGGATTAACAGGAACATTTTTTTGAAGATTTCAAACGAACTCGACTTTCAGTATAATTGTACCTAAAGTATTTATAAACAGCTCATCGGAGCCTCTATTTGTCATAGACTTTTGAGTTTATTGTTGGGACCACATAATAGGACCATTTTTTTTTGTCTTTAAAATTGTTGTAAATCTCTGTATGCACTTTGCTTTTTTATTAAACGTACTCCAAGGTGAGTCTTGACTCTTTAGTGTAGGACAGGATTGTACACTAACACCAGCATGGACCTGCTTTTCATTGTGTCTGAAATGTGAGCCACGTAGTGTCGGCCTGCTGTGAAGTTAACATTACCAGGACGATTCTTCTACAGAAATAATTTCAATTTTTTTCAGTATTTAGTAGTGAAAGATATTAATGCATTAATGGTAATACATTTCTGGTTTAATATAAATTAAGGATGTTTTCTAGTTGTGCATGAATGCTGGCAACTTAGTAAGTTTTGACAATTGTTTAAATATGTAATGTTAAGCTTAGGTTTAAAAAAGTAAAGCTGGTAAACTGGGTCTTTGTCATTTGCTTTAAAAAAAAAAAAAAAAAAAAGAAAATAAATGCGAATGTGTTGGTGCATTCTTCCTGAGTGGGATCTGGAGCTTTTTTGTGTCTGTGTATGATTTGTGCCTGGGCTTCTAGTGTCACTTTAATAGCGTTTCGTGCTATTATGCTGCACCTCAGTTACATGTAGACATTTTCTTCAGTATATTTGAAGTATATGAAGATTTTCATATTGTAAGTTGCGATTTAGCAATTGATCAAACATTTAATTATGGTAACATTTCTACAGGAGAGGGAAGAAACCATTGTATAATTTTTCATTCTTAAAGTATGTTCTAGTTTTTAGGATTTGATGTAAGATCACTTATGGAGCCGGGCACAGTAGCTCACTCCTGCAGTCCCAGCACTTTGGGAGGCGTAGGCGGGTGGATCACCTGAGGTCAGGAGTTCGAGACTAGCCTGACCAGGATGGTGAAACCCCTGTCTCTACTGAAAAATTAGCTGGGCGTGGTGGCAGGTACCTGTAATCCCAGCTACTTGGGAGGCTGAGGCAGGAGAATTGCTTGAACCCGGGAGGTGGGAGGTGGTTGCAGTGAGCCAAGATCCATGCTATTGTACTCCAGTCTGGGAGGCAGAGCGAGACTTCATCTCCAAAAAAAAAAAAAAAAAAAAATCCATTCTGGACAGTATGCATGAGACAGTCATGGAATGATTTTAGGAGTGAGACAAAAATAAGGTCTTTTGTTCTCAGTTTGTAATACCTTTCATGATTGCCATTGGTAACTAGAATCCTAGCTGTAGTGAATATTGAACTAGATTTAGACTGGATTTAAAACTGTTTTGTTTTGGAACTAAAATAGTGTGAAAACTGCTAGACGGGGGGTCCCTGACAAACAGCGCTTTCCATCCATGCTGGCTTTGCAGGAGGGCATAGAGATTGCTCAGGATATGCCAGAGCGTTTAAGGAACCTGATGTGCTGTTTCTGAAAATAAGTAAAAAAATATTTTAAGGAATTTCATAGGAGCTCAAAAAAGCATAGCAACAGTTAAGTATTTGGGGACAGTTGAACTACAAGAAGAGAAGCGAGTAATGTGCTTGTCTGTTGTGTCGGAAATAACCGCACACGGCACTTCGTGTCTCTGGATAAGGTAGGTATGCAGCCATGGCACGTGCGGGAAAGCGGGACAGCGCCCTGTAGTGTTGGAAATCCCACCTCACAACTAGCATTGTGGGGTCATAGAGCGCGCTTTTGTTTATGCTTCAGGACGGGTGGCTTCTTGTTACTAAATGAGAAATTCAAGTAGATACTTTGGACTTCAGGGTTTTATGTTTTTCATAAGTGGGTGGGGTGAGTCAATGCAGCAGCCTTGAGACATCCAGGGATGTCCAGAGAAGACCAGGAAAGGAAGACAGTCTTGACCTGTAATTGTTAAACCAGGAAGCAGTTTGCTATAGCTTTGGTGCTGCAAAAGTTTAGAATACATTTGGTGGGTTCTAGACTTCGTGGAGTGTTTCATGCAACTCTGGCTGTGAACAGTCTACTCACACATGGTGTTACAGGTAAAATATGTTTGACTCCTAAGAAATCTTTCTGGTGAAAACTTTTTTTGATGGGAGAGGGAGCATTCATTTGTACTTGGGAAGATTACTGCTTTTTTTTTTTTTTTTTTTTTTTTTTTTGAGACGGAGTCTCGCCTCTGTCGCCCAGGCTGGAGTGCAGTGGCCGGATCTCAGCTCACTGCAAGCTCCGCCTCCCGGGTTCACGCCATTCTCCGGCCTCAGCCTCCCGAGTAGCTGGGACTACAGGCGCCCGCCACCTCGCCGGCTAAGTTTTTCATATTTTTTAGTAGAGACGGGGTTTTCACGTGTCAGCCAGGACAGTTCTCGATCTCCTGACCTCGTGATCCGCCCGTCTCGGCCTCCCAAAGTGCTGGGATTACAGGCTTGAGCCACCGCGCCCGGCCGATTACTGCTTTTTTAAGTTTTGAGATAGTCTTGCTGTGGCGTCCAGACTGGAGTGCAGTGGCGTGATCTTGGCTCACTGTAACCTCTGCCTCCGGGGTTCAAGCGGTTCTCCTACGTCAGCCTCCTGAGTAGCTGGGATTACAGGTGCCTGCCACCACACTCAGCTAATTTTTGTATTTTTAGTAGAGGTGGGATTTCACCATGTTGTCAGGGCTGGTCTGGAACTTCTGACCTCAAGTGATCCATCCACCTTGGCCTCCCAAAGTGCTGGACAGGCATGAGCCACTGCACCTGGCTGAGAAAATTACTTTTATTCTGTTCTTCCGTTGATAGAAGTGTAATTTTATTAAGTTACTAATAGAATAAAAAACCTATTTGTTGCTGTCAAATCTTACACCTTTGATTTTTAAACCCTGTTAAGATTATTCCTAGAGAATTCAGTCTAAGTGTGCATGAGAGCAGCTTTGAAAAGTTAGGAAATGGCTTTGAGCATTGACAGCATCACTCAAGTAAATGATGACTTGGAATAAGAGTAGCATTTGATTTAAATTAGTTTCTGGTAAAGTCAACCGTCTCTTTACTTTCTGTAGTGTTAAGCGCCTTTGAAAATAGGAAGCCGAGCGCTCCTTAACGGCACATACCTGGTTGTGCATGGCCCCATATGGTCCCAGCCATTCTGGGATGTGCGTCTGCTGTCTTTGGTTTGTGCTCAAGGTCCCTGTTTGAGAGTCCTTAAGTTTTATTTTTTAAGTCTTTAATTTTTAAAAATACTTCAATAGCTTTTGGGGAGGTAAGTGGTTTTTAGTGACGTGGATGCATTATATTATAGTGTTGAATTCTGAGATGTCGGTGCTGCTGTCGCCTAAGCAGTGTATGTTGTACCCAAACTGTAGTTTTTTAATCGCTGTTTGGCATCCTTTTGTCTGGAAGGCTCAATAATCTGTGTTTTTGTCATCTCCTATTTTCCTATTCCTTGTAGTTCCCCAGCCCCCGTTGGTTTAATTCAGTGATGGATTATTCCTTATATCTCTATCCTTTATAAAATTTAAGCTTTTTAAACTCCAAAGATTCCAGGCTTGATTTTGGAAACTCAGGGTTTTAAATCATCTGAAAGATGTCAGTCAATCTTGGCATCGTGGGTGACTCGCTCTTCCTCTTGGATGTCCTCCAGTAAGTAGCTTTTAGAAGTGGGTGAAGTTAGTGTCACCATTTGCTAAACTTACCTGTGCACCTGGCGTGCTGAAGTAAATGTTCCTTACAGTGTGGTAACGCTTGAGGAACATTGTGGGATGATTGTCTTTCCAATCCATTTTAGTTTCTGTTTGTTAATTAAAGCTTTAAAAATGCCTGCTTATCCTGTCTTGATTACCTTCTAGCTATCATTTCTCTTCAGGGAATACTGATCTTGTTTTAACCACTACGGAATGAATTAGAAACATTTTTATTTGCAGAGGATTCAACAGTAATAAATAATTGGCATATTCTCTCTGTTATTGATGGGCAGCGGTGTTGAAATTTAGCCATTAGCATGTTCAGTAACAGAATGGAGGCAGATATTATTTCTGGAGGTTTTCAAGCACAAAATTAGTTGATTTGAATACTTGATTTAGTGGGGTCTAGAGGGGGCTGAATTACATAACCCACTGCTCGTATTTTTAAAGATGAAAGTATGAGATCTTACCCTTTGGGGTCTTGGTTTCAAAGCCTTTGGATATGGTATTCTTGGCTGTTCTAGGGACGTGGGGGGAACTAGATGTAGGCCTTGGTACTAAAGTGTGACCAGTGGTTGAAATGGGGTAGACCGAAGTCTTTGGCTACGTTATTTCGTCTTCCTGTTTAAAAAGGTGAAAAGACGGAATGTCACAGCAGCTATTCCTGTGTTAGAAATCTAGACGTCACTGATTTCCAGAGACGGCAGAGTTTATGATTGGGCATCAGAAAGCCTGTCTTGGCTTCTGTGCTTTGGTCAGTATTTGCTGACTTTTGTGCAGGGTATCAGTCAGTGTTACCTAACTGTTCACTAAGGATTCGACTCTGAGCTTTGTGGCCTGGGTGAGTTGCAGACTCAGGGGTTGAGACCCCCGAATGCGCTTTGCCCTTTTCCCTGTACCCTGATAGGGAGAAGATTCCTGCCCTGGAGCGCAACTCCCACAGGAATGCAGGTCCTGTGAAGGCAGTAATTCTTGTCTGTCTTGCTACTGCTGTGTCCTGGCAGGTGTGCCCTGGAAGCATCTTGCTGCGGAAACCCCGATGGTGGTTGCCGTCCCACAGCCCTTGATTCAGAGATGCCCTGGACCCTGGCTGCCTGGAGAGTAGAGCAGGGCCTCACTCCCGCACCCCTCCTGCTGTGTGGCCTGCTGCCCAGCCTGCTGTTGGAAGCTTGCCATGTGGATCAGAAGGACCTGCGTCTTGGC